AAGCATTTAACTTGTTCAAGTATGAATCGTCTTTTTTCCTCTTAATACAAAACTTAAATATTATTTAAATCCGATCATAGTATTCTGAAGATCTATTCCATTAGCTCTATAACTTAACGTCATTCGACTAGATCTAAAATTATGCAAAACACTAACAAAATGTAAGTATCACTTTCTAATATATTTTCATTAAAAAAAATGATATGCATGCTTCTAAATTACAAAATTAACTATAATATACATTATGATTGTAATAACACCAATTAATTGATAATTAAGTAGTAATAAGTTAATCTGAAACAACATTGACAAAAAATTTCTTTTTATCGAAGTTGTAACTTCATTACAATATATATATATATATTGAGAACGTCAGAGATCAATTCATTTTAGATCGTCTGACTATAAAATTGAAGAACTTTATAGATATCATATTTTCATTCTTGACACATCGACTTGTCAAATAACTCTAACTATTTTTTTACATCACCTACGTAATTAATATTGTATTGTCAATGATAAGAATAGAAGAGTGAAAGTATTCTTATTTTTCATTAAAAAATGTAGATAGATACAGACAAAAGTTTAATAATAATCTTTAAGATATTCCTCAAAAAACATAAAAACATGTTAGTCGATGCCTTTTGGTAAGCATTCTGCTTACATACAATATCCGTTTTCGTCAACAGCCGATGAATTTTAGCTATGCACGACAAGAATGATACAGCCTCGAAACATCCAGGCTGATATTTATCTATGAGGAATAATGACAATAAATAAGACAACATTTCACTATTGAAGAAAAAAAAAAGGATTGTCAATTAATCAGTTGCCTATTTTTTCTGTTGCTGTCGATACTCTTATAAAAAGGTATCAAACTAATAATTAATCCTTTTGTTCGGAAACGACAATATATTCTTCTTTTGAGAAGATCTTTTTGCAAATTTGAGTGTAAGAGCAATTACTAAAATATTCATCTGCACATTTTATCTATGCACTCTATACTCTTCTCTAAATAAAAACAGTAGGCGTCAAGAAATAGACAGTTTTTTTTATAAATGTGAAAACAAAATTTTTTAGATTTTTCTTGTCTTTTTGTTCTCTCGGGCGGGATAGATAAAAAATATGTTAAAAAATAGAAGACATACCTCTTTTTTTGGTCATACTTCTATAGTGTTTAAAAAAGTACGAAGTAATTCAATTTCAACTTGATAATGAAGAGGAAAATAGAAATTTCTCTTGCTAGTTTTTTTTTCTATAAACTTCTTACAGTGCGTTGATAGAGAGTATTACTTCAATTGAATGACGCTTTACAAAAATACTAATTTAGCTTTGTGACTTTCTTGTTCGTTTTTCTATTACTTTCATATGAATAAATATGCATAGACTATATATATACTAATAAGATTTGTTTAAAGATGTTATTCAATGTATCATTTAATTTGTGCATGCATTTTTGTAAAACCAATTAAAATATTTTTTTTTCTAACTTATATAGTAGCTTTTTTGATGGATAAAAAGATATTTAATGTTTTTTTTTCTTGTCATTATGGTATAATTATGTCTTTCCTACTTTTATCGGATGATGAACGAACAAAGAAGAAAACGAGAGACGCAAAAAAAAACAAAAAAAACTAGTAATTGAGATGAATGATGATTATTAAACATAATAGATTATGTCGGTAAAATGTTCTTACGTACTATTATCAGTAACAATATGAACATGTACTTCTAAATTCACTTCGTTTCCTTAAGAGCCCAAACTCATTTTCTTTTCTTTTGTTTTTGTAGTTACGTAGAAGAAGAGAAAGATGAAACTAATTCAAGAAATTGACGTATACATTGAACAGAGAGTCAGTGCTTTAGGAATGAGAAAATAAAAAGGAGACTGATAGAGAGAAAATAAGTAGAAGGCTGATAGAAAGAAAATAAAAATGAGACAAAGAGCGAGAGCAAGAAAAAGTAGCAGTTGTATTTGAAATAACGGCTATTAGCTAACAATTTGCGCCTGCGCATATTCATTCTTCTTTCTTTCTATCTACTCTCGCCCGTGAGCGCCATTTTATCCTTTTGAAGAATACTGAAGATACAGACTTTTTGCAAAGGGTACCTTTTTTTTAGTAGAATGGCTACAGACACACCCACATTGAACAATTATTGATTTGTATGTATTTGTTGCTGTGCTTATTGTATCAATGTAATTTTCATCATTCTACGTAGCATGTTGTATTATTGCTCTAGGATGATAAAAAAACATGCAAATGTCATTATTCATCATCCTTCACATGAGATCTACTGTTAGTTGAACGAAGAAGCTACGCGTTGTATTTTGTCAGACACAGACGAATACAAAATAAATTAGAGAAATCCATATGACCAGTTATCACTCAGCTGAGAAAACAAATAAAAGAGGAAGAAAAATTATAAATACCATCAAAAAAAAATATATTTAAGTCATATATTGACTAATACATATACGCATTTGACAAAAATAGATAATAGGTCCTTGAATTTCCCTTGCTATCTTCCTTTTCTTATCACGATCAAACTCAGGAAATTCGCATATCAAACGCCTATAAACTATTCATCATATAGTTAATCAAGTCATTGACACAGAAAATTAATATAAACTAGACGACATCTATATTATAGTGTTGAGAAATTGAAATGAAATATTGTAGATCATGAATACTATAAATAACAATACAATAGAGACATCAAATAATACAATCGATGCAGCAAATCGGCTTCTTCATTTATCTATTTGGTCATTGCGTATTGTATGCCCATTGTTTATATTTCTTTCTCCTATTTTCAATTGGGCATGTATACGAATATTTCAATCCAGAATATACGCTCGATCATCATCAAAATGGTATTTTATATTTATAGCTATATTTGATACAATATATGTAGTTGTAACGGCACCACTTTTATTTTTGATAACATTAGAAATTTATATTCTTAATTGGAATGTATTCCTATGTAAATCAATACTATTTTTTAATTATTTATCATGTCAAATATCCGCTGGTCTATTAGCATGTTTATCAATCGATCGTCTTATAGCAACATCATGTTTATCATTATATCGTCATAATTGTACAACAAATTTATCAAAAATTGTTTGTTTAATTGTAATATTCGTTTTTTCAATAGTCAACTCACATTATTTAATTGGTTATACAATTGATTCAAATGGTTATTGTAGTATAAGACATTATAAATGGTATGAAGCAATATATTCACGTTTAAATGTTGTTTATTTATTATCATATTCTATCATACCATTTACAATAATAGCCATATGTAATTTATTTATTGTTATAAGTGTTTGTCACAATAAAACAAATATGAAAAAGAAATATGACTGTAAAAAACCAATTATACTATCAAATATTCATCATGAACAAACTATAACATCAAAAGATACACCAAAAATATGTGAAAAATCAACCAAAATATTAAAATTTAGAAAATGTTCAACAGATAATAATGCAATGAACGGAAATAAACATGAAATGTTTGTAACAATTCAAAATGAAAAAGTGATAAATAATCTTCTTGATTCAAATGGTAAGTTTAGAAAAACAGATATGCTTTTTATAGGATTCGAGGTAATCTTGTAAGAGTAGAATGACTTTTTTCTTTATATAAAATTTAAGACGATTATTTATTTTCAACTAATTTCTATTAATTATCTTTGTCACAATAGTCGATTGGTGTGCTGATCGAATGGATCGTTTATCAGATAAATTATTATTAAATGATAAAGAACCAACTATTTCAATTGGAACATTATCCACATCCATAGAAAATAAACAAATACATACACCATTACAAAGTGAAAGATTATTATTAACAAGTCATTTTTCAGCATCATCATCGTCATCATCACCGTCAACAACTTCACAAAAAATGTGTGTACAATTACAAATAACAATAAGTTTATTAGTTATATCAATATGTTTTATTTTTTGTACATTACCAAATTGTATATCGACAATTATGATTCAAACATATATAAATGATGAACATGCTAGAAAGTTCTGGCAAGCTATGAATTATTTTTCTATTATTCCATTGTTAATAACACATTCTGTTAATTTAGTCTTTTATTATTTATCATCTAATATGTTTCGAGAACGTTTTAAAGAATATTATTTCAAGAAAAAAACTTAACGATTTATTTGAGTAAGATTTTTTATTGTATAAATGTTGTCAAGTTTTCTTCTATCTTATTGTGGTTGTGCCATCATCAATTGTCATTTCTTCATCTATTTCTTTTTTTATAATTAAATGAGTAGACAGACGTGCAGCTCTCAAATGAAATGAGATCTTTCTTACAATCACAGAAAAAAACAAATTTGTTACTTTCCACATCTTGCCTTTCTTCATCTTTCAATAGAGTCAATTAGCTTCATTTTATTTACTTCAGAGATCAATTTATAAATATGAACTTTGATTTCTTCTTTGAAAGAAACTGATGAGTAACCTCTATGATCAACTTCTCTTTTCCTTACATTTATTTATTTAATATGCGTATATTCATGCAATAGAATAGAACAGCTGAATATTATGCTAATGATGAATATATGCATCATCATCGCAGTTGTCCTAGTTATTTTTGCTTGAACAATGAAAAACAATAAGTTCTTGTTCTTGTTTTTCATCTGTAAGCATGCGTTCAAATAACGTAATAACTATCCATAGTATATAATTATTTACCTAGATATGTATTCAAGCATTTAAAATACCACATACAATACACAAAAAAAAAGACGAATGATGCATAATAATGTTTGTTTCTTGCATTGATGCCAGTTTTTGTGTATTATGTATTTTAACATAAGGAATAACAAGAGATCGTTCGTGATTTATATATCATATAAAATAAAATATTTTCATTCTTTTTTTCTTGTGGTCTACCTACATTACATATTTTGAAAAAATCTATTTTGAAAAAAAAACAATTCTTGTTGTTCTAAGAATGATCAATCTTAGAAAATGAAAAATATCATTGTTAAACACAGTAAAACAGCAAATACAAATACACTACTACTAATAAGAATAAGTTGTTTAGATGTAAATTGAATCGTTCGTCGATTATGTGTAGGTACTTGTTCGAGTGTCAAATAATGATTATTTTCTCTCATTGTCGAAGTTTGTATCTGTTTATTGTTAACATGAGACGAAAGATTTTCGTCTCCAGCTCCATTTCTTTTAGTTCGATCAATTGTTCTATTCATATTAATGTCAATAATAGGTCCAGATTCACATATTGTCGTATGAGTTAAATGATGGACATAATCATCACTTGTAATAAGAGCACTTTCAATACGAATAGGCCCATTTTCTCTATAAGGATTGTTTTCATTTGTAGAAGAATAAAGATCACTTGTTGCTATATCTGTTGAACTTCGAATCGAACGATGTATAAATGAATGTTCTTTATTTAGATCTTCATGAAGATCATTAGCATTTCGATTGAAATTTTTTTCATTTAAATAAATAATTGACTTTGTTGAATGAAATTTTTCTTCACTATCATTTGTTTGAATTGATGATGTATCAAATTCAAAGGTTGATTTTGATGATGAAGAAGATATTTTTGTATGAAGCATAAGAATTAAATTAAATTGCTCAATGGTAATAATAATATTAATAATAATGAACAGAATATTTCTATTTTTATAATCAATAATATTCCTATGGATTATTAAACAGAATGATAAAATAATGATTAAGATTTGATGATGTTTTATTAGAGATTGAAGTGAAAGCGACAATGAAACGAGCAACATAGAGGCGCATCGATGAAATGAACAAGTATATATTTACCCGCGAAAAAATTAATACTAATCATGAGATTTAAAAAAACAAGCATTAAAATTCCATTAGCAGTGCACCGTCGTTCCTTAACATCTACAGTTCAAAGACATGTGAAATTATATTTATTTTTACTGAATATCTACAATCTGTTGACCGCTTTATAAACATATTTGCATGGAAGAATTTTCATGCACTAAACAAAATTTCATTTATTTGTGAAGTATGAATAATGAATATAAAAACATGTCTCTATAAACGGAGTTTCTTTTAGCTATTACTCCAGGTTTGTTTAGATTTGTCGAAGTATCAGATAAATAATCATAGTAAAAAAGAAAATTGTTTTTATATTTCTATTTAAAAAAATTCAGTTAAAAAGTCTTTCAGTGATAAAGTTGAATTCTTCAGAGCTGGATCATATACACTTGTCATTGAACTATGGATGTGAAAATAATTCTTTCCTTTATGCGCATGAATACATAATGCTGTATCGAACACTGGAGTCATGTAAATGAGTTGGTATTAATTTATATGGAGATTTCATATTAAAAAAAGATGACTTTTTACCATAATAGATTCACTTGAACAGTATATATTGAGATTAGAATTAAAAATATTGAAACACGCAAATGTTCTCAGAATAAGAAATTTAATATTTTGCTGATAAAATATTCTTATTATACTATTTATTGAATAATAAATGCTTTAGAAATATTGATTATTAAACGATATTTCATTTGCAATAATTTAACAAAATACTGTTTTTTTTTAAATTTTGTATAGAATATCCTAAGTGCTCGATTTAACATTTGGTCAATAATTTATGTACACTTCTATTCTTCTTTAATTGAAGTTTTCTTTTTCTCTTGACAGAAAGTAGTCCAAACATATGAATTAATTATACTAAAATCATTAGGAAGCGATATACTTTGGATAGATTTTTGAATTTTACATATTTAAATTTATCATGAGAACCTTTGGTACAATTCTATCAGATGATAGTTTCACTGACATTTTTCTTTGTTCAATCATGATGTATTTTGGTCACATTTCTTTGAAATGTGTTAAGTTTACAAAGCAACGTTTACATAGGATATGTTTAGCTAAAATTCTAGACAAGAATGTATACTTTTTTTTGACATAATTTATGTTAGAATGGAATTAGATTGTTGAAGTCAAAATATGTTAAGATCTTACTGATCATTGAGTTTTTGTAAATCATTATTTTGTAATTATCCATTCGAGCTATTTCAATGCTAATAATTTATTGTCATACTAAAATATTGATTTTCTTTTCTATGTATTAGTATGCTGCTTAATCAACAATGTCATCTATAATTGCGTTCAGCAGTAAATATCTTACAACTTGCATTAACGTAATAGTGAATTTTCGCTACGATAAATAATGCAAATCAGTAAATGAATAGCTCGGAGAGAGATAGAAAACATTACGTGTTTTCTTGTTACAATTGTAGAAAGTTCCATTTAACTTTGTTTAAGTACTACTGAAGTATAAGAAAAAAAAATTCTTAACTGAAATTATTCAATTAGTAGATTGAAAGAAAAAAGAAAAAAATTAGTTTTTCAAATAAAATCAATTGTTCAAAGTTAAAGATCTATCGTAGATAAAATATTAAGTCTCAAAACGAATATATTTTCCACAAAGACCTTATCACCTGTATCAACTAATAAATTGCCCAGTGATACAATTAATCAATCCTTCGATTTCTTGGCTACTTGGTCTGCAATATTCGAAACAGAGACAGTGGTGTGACCGTTCGTATAACAAATCCTGCTATTACAACATTTTTGGAATTTCTTACTAAGCAAAAACCTACGATCGTAGAAGGAAAAGTAGAACTTAGAAAGAACGAGATAATATGAACAATATCAACAAGTAATTGATGTTTTAAGAGATTAGTCACTAATTCTTATCAATACTGACAGCTACAGAGTCCAATTCGTATGCAGAAAATTATTTATTTGTCTTTTGATTCGAATCAAAAAGTTATTAATACATTTCAGTCCAAAGTCTCGTATTACTTTTTTGTTCTTAGTCATGTATTGAAACTACACAACATTAATTTAATTCGATTATATGTCTGTATAGTAACAATCGAGTATCATCTATATGCACCTGTTTAATACGAAAAACCCGCGAATATAAAATACAACAAAAGTAACAAAACTTCAATGCTAAGAAAAAAATGACATAAAGAAAGATAACATGATATTGTAAATGATGAGATATTTTCATGGTTAGTCAACCACAAAAAATACATAGTATTCAGAAAACTTCGTATTCTGTGAGACTTTACAGATCTTTTTTCGCTGTTCATTTTGGGTGAAAAGACTTTTTGGATTTCATTGAGAAATGACGATGTTGTAGTCAAAATACTGAAAACTAGAAAGACTAAAAACTCGATTTTTTTCAGACAAGAGACAACAAAATAAGCATAAAATGTCGATTGGCATATCTCAAAATGTTTATATTTTGGAGAAATGTGGCATGATATACTTTGTAGAGAAAACGTTGCCCTACAAAACCCTATAGTTGATTTCTCAGTTATAGTCGAATACTATTAATCAATCTCGATAGAATGTTGTGGATGGTATTCGTATCGAAAAATATGATATGTCTTGTTTTTATGATGAATGTCGAGCATAAAGTTGTATCGAGATTGATTGATAGTATTCGACTATAACTGAGAAATCAACTATAGGGTTTTGTAGGGCAAAGTTTTCTCTACAAAATATACTATGTCACATTTCTCCAAAATATAACCATTTTGAGATACGCAAATCGACTTTTTATGCTTATTTTGTTGTCTTTTATCAGAAGAAAATATCGAATTTTAAGCTTTTTCAGTCTTCGATATTTTGACTACAACATCGTCATTTCTCAATGAAATCCAAAAAGTCTTTTCACCCAAAACGAACAGTGAAAAAAGCTCTGTAAAGTCTCACAGAATACAAAGTTTTCTAAATAATATGTTTTTTTTTGTGATTGACTAGTCATGAAAATATCTCATAATTTACAATATCATGTTATCTTTCTTTATGTCATTTTTTTCTCAGCATTGAAGTTTGGTTGCTTTTGTTGTATTTTATATTCGCGGATTTTTCGTATTAAACAGGTGTATATAGATGGTACTCGACTGTTACTATACAGACATATAATCGGATTAAATTAATGTTGTGTAGTTTCAATACATGACTAAGAATAAAAAAGTGATACGAGACTTTTGAGCTGCACTGTATTCTCAGGTTGAAGAGAAAATACTTTCAGCTATTGTATGATATATTCTTTTTTATTGTGTAAGAACGAATAAGAAATGAGTGAAAAGATAGTAAAATGAGAGTGTAGTGGCTTTTGACGGAGCAATCCGAATTATCTCACCTAAGTTGAATTACTGATCCGTATCATCTTATGTGGAGTAATTTAGATCAAGTCAACACAACTTCTGTCATTTTTATTGTAGCTTTTTTTCCAGTATATGCTTTTCAGAAAATTCTTTCGTCAATCGATAGGAAATACTTTGATCCAATTGATATCTAAAAATTACTTTTTTATTATGAAAAATACATGTGAACGAACAACGAGAAAATGGAACTTTGATTTTTGATCCGAATTCACTCCAAGGAACTATATAAGAAAAATCAGTTGTTATTCAACTGTTCGATAAAACGTTTTTATTTGAACGTAACATGATCCGACTATTTTTTGAAAAAGAAGCGCAGGTTATAAAAAGAGATTTCATGAAATGGTCTATTCAATAAAGAAACAGAAAACTATTTAGAGTGAAACTGTCGTCTATTTTACTATCTTACTGTCTTTATCTGTATTCAAGTTCGACCAGATTACAGACAAGTATACACTTACGCAGTTTTACTTTTACAGTAGCTGAATTCTTTTCAAACACATGAATCAATTGGTATATCCGTCAAATACAATGACTTTATACAAGAAAATGAACGAATGACAATCTTTTTTTTTATATCAACATATGACTGTTTTTGAAGAAGACCATTATCAACTGGTTGAAAAATAAAAAGAATTTATTTTTTTCGATATTTACGGCAATATAGAAAGTTTTATACGACGAACTGTATCATCAAATCTCAGTGGAAGTTTACTTAAGAAGAACGAAAAAGAAATTCCAAGGTAATAAATATCCACATTTTACTATGTGCCGAATAAAATTTGATAAAACGCAAAAGTAAATTGTAGTTGTCACATGACGCTTTCAGAATGTATCATTACTTTAAATTACTTTATCCAAACAAGTAATTGCAAAGGCAGCAGAAATTTACGGCACATAACTATTATTAACTCACTTTAACAAAAAAGCCCTACTAAACACACCATATACACAACATACATTTCAACATTCCGAACATCTCAAAAATGTTTTGCATGTCGACCAAAACTAATCCAAGTTTTCTTACATTACTGGTAGAACTTGTCTATCGAGTTCTTGATTATCTCGATAATTTCAATATGTTATGCTCCACACGAAACTTTTGTACACATATGAACGCAATCGTCAATGGCTATCATCGATATCAGGTAAAACAGTACTATATCAGCAAATTTGATTTTCATGATCTTCAGCATATTATTCGCTTATCTAAAATATCAATCTATATATATCATCTCACTAGACTATTTTCCTTTTCTAACCGCTCTATTACTAGATCGGGCTGAATAAATTTGGCAATTTGCCAAAAACTACTCATTCTCCAAGTTTCACTCGAAAACAATGATTGACCATTGACAATAGTTGAAATTAAC